CAGGGGGGATAGCTTGAGGCTCCGTCTCAAAAAAAAAAAAAAATCAAAAGCCAGCTGTCCTTGATGCCAGCCCCAAGCCTTGAAGAGACTCTGAGGACTGTGTGTGTGTGTGTGTGTGTGTGTGTGTGAGAAAGAGAGAGAAAGAGAGAGAGAGAAGCAATCCAGCCCAGTGCCCAACACAGTGTCGTCCCTACTCCAACTCTGTACCTCCCTACATGTCACATCTGTCCACCCTGACAGACACTTTGGGGGGACAGGTGCTCTGCAGGGCTTGACTCTGGGTCCCCAGTCCATTGAACCTGTGAGTGGTGCCTCCTGTGCTTCATGCCCTCAGAGAGGGAGAAGACAGGTACTGGGGACAATGGTGAGGTGCTTCTAAGGACCTGGGCCCCAGAGTTGGGTGAGAGGATGTTTGGGAAGGGGCATTGAGGCAGCAAAGGAGAGGAAGGGATGGCGTCATCAATAGGGATTTTAGCTGCAGGCAACAAAAACTGAATCTAGATGAAAAAAAGTAGAAAAAGAATTTATTGGCTGGATATCTCACAGAGTCCCTAGGGTGGTGGAGTAGGCTAAGCATTCAGGAACAGTGTCCCCAGATCCTGCCTGGAAACTTGTCCAGTGAGGGTACAGCTGCGGAGCCTCGGTGCCTGCCCTCACTCCCCTGAACTCATAAGTCCTAGATAGTTTCACCAGCAGCTCTTTGGCCACTGCCCTAGAACTCGTGCTTCCCACAACCCATGGCTCAGGTTTCCAAGGGGATTAATGTCAGTGGTCACATCCTGTTGGGTCATAGGTATCATCTTGGTGCATCTCCCTGCACTTGGATTCTTGGCCTCTGCCCCTCTTTCCAGGGTGTTTTTTCCTAGTCAGTGGACTCTGTTCTGCCTGCCCCTTTGATGGACCAGGAGTGAGGGGGAATTAATGTCCACCCCCAGGAGTCCTTAACTAATGACTGATGGGAGGTGGTGTATGAACACCTCAGCTTCCTTGACCCTGGGCTGGGATAACTGAGTGAAGTGCATGTTCTCCTTGGGCTCCGTACTTCCCAATAGGTTCACACCCATGGCAATGACTTCTGTGATAATGCACATTTTATTGGCCACCCTCATTTCCTTCTCACATCCTCACACCCATCCTAGTGCTTCCTACAGTAGCCTCCCATGAGGTTTGAACTCTGGTCTCAGCTCTAGCTTCCGAAGAAGCCCCATCCCTGGTCAGGTGCATCTGTCTGGCAGCCCCAGGCCCAAGTCTTCCAATGTATGGAAAGGGAGTTTGGGGGATGCAAGAATTGGGCATTTTCAGTTTCTGTGGCAAGGTGGGCTCTGCTTCTCCCTAATACTTGTTAGGTGGAATGTCACTCAGGGGCCCCATAGGATGCTGAGGATGTAGGAACTATAAGGCATAGCATAGCTTAGGATGAGCAGGGGAGGGCTTTGGCCATCTCTAGTCTGGTGGAGTGAGGGGAGCAGTGCCCTAACTCTGCACTCTGCCTCTCCGATCTCTTGCCAACCCACAGGACTCAGCTGAACCTCCTGCCCTGGGCCAGTGCAGGGGGGAGCAGGGTGGGGACAAGGCCTGGAGGGCAAAGGAAAGGTGTTTGGCACACTGGGGACTTTCCCAAACAAGCAGGACCTTGGCTGTATAGAAATGAAAATGTCACATTGGTTCTTGAGTGAGGGCTGAGGGCTCCATGGTAGCTCCCCCTTGACAAAAGTGATCAAATTCTTTCTCGATCTTTTCTCTTAAAAGCCCTCCTTTCCCAGTCCTTTCCTAGTCCGGTGATGGCCCCCTATAAAACAGCCCTGAGAAGGGAGTCAAACAATGATTGTCCTTTTGGAGAAAGTGAGGTCCCTCACTGGACCAGAGGGACTTGTTGGAGGTCACTGTCTGCACTGGCACTTGACCAAGACACCCACTCTCTGTCAGAGCTGTCCCCAGAGCTGGCCCATCCTGGCCCTGTGGACCTGCCTTTCCCAGAGGGCACTGTCCACACTCGTGTTTGTTTCCAACCAGTGCAGCAGGCAGCCGGAAGTGTCCAGATCTCTCTTGTGCTGTCGTTTGAGTGTATGGCTGTGAACAGAAGCATGGAAGAACAGCGTTGCAACCAGGCTTCTAGACCTTGCTCATCCCTTCTTCCCCACCTGAGGATTTAGGGTCAGATAATGTCACTGCTTGGCTTTTGGTCCTATGGGTCCCACACAAACCTCAAGGAGCTTAATTTACAGGGAGTTTCAAAGAGAGTCAGGAGGGCCGTGCCAGCTCCTCTGAGCCCTTTGACACTGGGTCTTCCTGCCAGGTCTAGGAAGCGGCCCTGAATCTTGTCACCCCCTCTGTGGGCCTGTGTCCCAGACACATGAAACAAAGACCACTTCACTCCATATTGGAACTCAAGACTCTGGGATTTACTGTATTCAGGGCCAGGGATGCCCACAAAGACCACATTGTTGGAGCCAGTGGTCTTTCTCCTTGAATTGTGAGACAGGAGACAGCTTTTCAGTATGAGCAAATGGGTTCCATCAAAAGTACAGTTTTCAAAACTGATGGCCCTAGATCAATTATGGCCCACATACATGTTCTTTTTTACTGAGTTTGCCCACAAAGGTTTATTTTCACAAAGTGAAATCAACTCCCACTGCTAGAAGTCAAGTTGGGGTTTCTGGTTATTTAGAAAAACTAGAAGACCTGGCAGCCCTGGGCTCACATTCTTGCTTGGAATGTTTGGCTGGACAGAGGGCCAGCCTCCCAGTGTAGATGAGATGTGTGCCCTGCTGTTCCCTGTTGCGTTTCAGCTGGAAGCTGAATGCGCATTGCCATTTATCACCAAGTTTATTCTGCTGTTTTTTAAGTCAGAGTTATGAAGAAAGTTAAATATTTTTGGTCCCCCCATTTCCAGCAAAAGTAGAAAAACAGTTTCTTTACTTGCCTGCCTGCCTGTTTCCTATGGGTTACTATGTACGAGTTCCCTATCTTTAGGGTGTGTGAGGTGCTCGTCCTCCCCTCTGCCAACACCACTGTCACAGACACATCTTATTTATTGGTCCTCTGTTAAGCGATGGACACAGTGAGACAGGTCAGGACAGCCTTTGATTTGTCTGAGAGGCAAAGCCCGGTGGGCGGAAAAGACAGAGCAAGCAGCAAATGGGGTCCCAGGGGCTCCGCCCAAGGTGATGAAACATTTGCCACCCCAGAAAAGGGCTCAAGGGGGGTTCTGAGGAGAGGAGCACTGGGCAGCCTGGTGGGAGTGGCCTGTGGGCCTCTGGCCAGCTCCTGGCAGAAGCTGTGGGTTATGAGGCAGAGACTGAGGACCCAGGAACATTGGAGGTCTGAGACAGGCTGGTTAGAGAGACTCGGGGTTGGCCTCTAAATTCAGCCACCTCAGTGAAAAACAGTCTGGGTCGCAGTTTTCCACCTGTCTAATGGGCATATGAAGACAGGCCCGGCTCCTGCTCTGAAAGTCCTGTTAGTCCAAGCATAGGGGTCCTCTCAGAGCTCACCATTCTTACCACACGGCCCCGCTGCGGTTTCCTGGTGGCTCTCCCAGAAGCCCTTGGGGGGCGTACTCCAGGCAGGTGTCCCCTGACAAATGGGGCAGGCACCTGGCGTAGTAGCGGAATTTCAAGCGACCATGGTTCAGGTTGCAGATCTCCTCCTTCCATTGTGGATGAAACTTTGGAGTTCGGTCACAGGTCCCAAGGAGGTCATCGTCCCAGCCATGGTCTGCATCCCAGACCTGCACCCTCAGGGGCCCTCCTGTGGCCAGGAGCACGTCCCCGAAGTCCAGCTGTGTCATCCACCTGGGGTTGTTATTGTTCCACACGGTGTCCGTCCTCAGCTCCTGGCCGCCAAAGAAGACCTTCACATAGGCGTCGGTAGCAGTGAAAATGTCTCCCCACAGATTCCATGCTTCGATGAGCATCACCTCCAGCCGGGCCAGGCCCCTCTGCCGTGGACAGCAGTCCCGGGTGGTGACCGCCGAGCTGTGGCATATGCATTTGCATGGGTCGTGGGGGCTCTTCTGCTGGCCTGGGGGACACGGCCGGCTGCAGTCCCTCCAGCGGGCCCTGTCTGTCACATACTTGCTCACAGCCTGCCTCAGTGCCTCCCGCCTCGGGTCCTGGTTTTCCAGGAGCACATGCAGAGGCTCCAGGGTATAGTCCACCAGGCCGGG